TATTGTACTTGAATCAGACAACTGGTAGTCCAGATCACGTACTTTGTGTACCCCTCCGACAAGTGTAAAGTTGCACAGCTCCCATTGCCGAAATGTCATTGAAAGTGGTCAAAAGTGGTCAAATGTTACAAGTGCTATATTTGGGATAACACTTTCTCAGTAAAGTACAGATTCTCATATTTCTTATGGTTGAGTCTGGGGTCAGATCGCTGACTTTGTGTGATGGCGCTTAAGTGCCTCTCTGGCAGTGTTGGTTTGAAACCTGGACGGCGAAGTGTTATCCCAAATACAATATGTGTTACCGAAAGCTGTAAAATCAAAGAATAAACGTCCTGCACAAGACGATTTTATTGTAGAATATTTAAGATATTCTGGAAAGATTTAGTAATTTGAATATATAGATTTCTTAATGATTAATTGGGTTTTTTCACACAATGAGCTGAGAACTTGCATTCCACAAAGTCAAATAAAGACAGACTTTTATATAATTGGGGCCGTATCTCTTTTCTCAATACCTCATTGTGAGGATCCGGGGTAGAATAGGCCTTCAGCAACCAATGTGTAATGGTCTTATTGACTTCGGGAACTTCTGTTTAGGAGGTTCAACTTTCTAGTGAGTCAAAAGCACATGTCTGGGTTATAGCCATGTTTAATCAACTAAAGGGGAATAACTCCCAATGATCTACAGTACAGTGCTGGTACAACAACTAGCTATGATAACTGTGTACATAGCACTCTTGTGGAACATGCTATAATGTAAACACATTTGATATATTGACTTACTGCTGCATCTCCCTTCTTAAGTTAATAAAGCTTTTCTTTAAAACTTAATGCAACACAACAGAATATATAAACTATATTGCTCAAACTCAATACTTTAGAGTCCATGATATGAGTTTGCTTTAACTCCTAGCATGATAAATGAGTATTTTAACTTTATGTTAAACTTGTGGAAATGACTAGGACACATACATTTTTTTAACTTTAAAAAGTTATCTGAACAGTCGTTTGAAAGGTTTTGAACACATTTGTAAACACATATCAGTCATTTTCAATCAGTCTTTCTGGCTTATTGATCACTCTGCCGGATCGGGTTGTTGTAATATCAGTGTTGTTAACTTGCTGTTGCTGTTGCTGCATCGGAGCTGTTGTAGACTGTTGTGGCTGCTCGTTGACTATCTGATTGGGGAGTAGCAGATCTCTGCGAGTTCTTCTGATGATTCCACCAGAATCGGTTTTCACCAAGTATGACCTTGGTGCTACTTCCTGGATTACTGCTCCCTTGGTTTTCCAGTTGTTTGTAGTCTCATTGTGTACTCTGACGTTGTTACCTGGTTGGAGTTGAGGCAGAGGAGCTATTTCAGCATTCTTGTCAAAGTAGTGGTTCTGTCGTTCTAGGGCTTCATACTAATGTGCTGCTACTGCTTGTTGGTCTGGAGTGTTCATTTGTAATATTGATGATTTCAGACGGAGGTTTGATCTAAGTCGACGATTCATCAGTAACTGTGATGGTGAGAATCCACACTCCAGTGGTGTACTGTGATATGCTAGGAGTCCGAGATGAAGGTCTTCTCTGCTCTCTGTGCATTTCTTTATGATATATTTAACAGTTTTACAGATGGAACATGCTATAATGTTAGCACATTTGATATATTGACTTACTGCTACACCATGCTTGCTGTAAAAGGCGATCATGCTTGTCATAAGGGCGACTTAAGGGATCAGGTGGTCAGACTTGTTAACTAGGCTGATGCATGTCATCCTATCCCAAGTGCGTGGATCGATGCTCAGGATGTCAATCACTGAATTGTGTGGTCTGGATTCGTTTAATTTACAGACCACCGTCATATAGCTGGAATATTGCTGAGCGCAACAATCAAACAAACAAACGATACTTTATATACCATGGTTAATACCTGCACAGTTGATATCAAAGAGGTTTCATATTGTAGCTGATAGAACCTTCAACATTACCAACCAAAATATTAAATCAACTTTGAAGACGATAAAAACGACATGCGAAATCGTCCTCGTCTGGGATTAAACGGGTTCCTGATGTCTGACGTGATGAACAATTTCAATTATTGATCCGGCGCCCAAACTGCCTTCTACTACTTTGATGTATTTAAATGGCATTTCGGGTTTTTTGTTTCTGCTCATCCGTTTGATTACCGTGTCCGCAACTAATATTGACTAATCATTATCAGTAACACTATTGAAGATTCCTTCAAAAATCTACTGAGGGGATTAATTCCTGACAAGCATTCATTGTGTGGAATTGGACTGAGGGTAGCAGTAGGTAGCATCCAAACAGGATTATAGTCATAAATTGCCAATAACAGACATGTATTGTTCTTTTAATTGTTAATAGGAACAAGAGCAAAGGTAGCTTTTCACACTCAATGATGTATGCAAAATTATATGTGCAGGATTAAAAGAGACGGGAACACTTCCTGACATATACAGTAGACTACGGTTATAACGAACTCAAAGGGACTATTAATATCAGTTCGTTATAACCGTAGTTCGTTATAAACATATATACAGCATAACCACAGCAAATAGGCGGGACAAAAAAGTAAGTTCGTTATATCCGTCAGTTTGTTATAAGCGTGTTCGTTATAACCGTAGTTAACTGTAACTGCTAAGTATCACAGCCGGTTGGGGGAGCATGACGTCTGGCCAGACATCCATCTCTACGCCCAATTCTGCTTCCACGTCACCGTCAGGCACGCCTAGCTAGGTGTTGACAGCATCTGATGATCAGACGTCAAGACTGGGACAGTATTTTGTTCCCAGATGAGTCCCGGTGTCATCTGGACAGCCCTGAGAGCTCTGAGAACGAGGGATGTCTTCAGATCTTTGTTTAGCGGTAGCAAGAACTAAGATCTCATATTAATGAGATTGTAGCAGCGCCTGCTTCACTCAACGTCGTCAGTTTTGGGGTAGAAGTGTAAGGGTATGTTGTGGCATCACAACACATGGGAGAATACAACTGATCATTTGTTAATGCATGGCGATTATTGTGTTAATATGTTATGATTTCAATAGTATGACCTTTACAGCAACGACAACATATCAACAATATTGCATAAGATGTTCTGTCGTTCTTGTCACGGATCATCATTTTCTGCTTTGAGAATACGTTTGATTTTGAAGCCTTGGAGTTCAAATATATGCTGTTATACCAAACATTGAATCGGTCATTTTACTCTGGACATTTCCTTTCAATTGTACAAAATTGTATCTTAAACATCCTGGGAGATTCAAACATAGGCAAAACCAGTAGAAAATATTATACTAAGTACACACAAAAATGAAACCTACACCTTGGCATAACTATACCTCTAAACAATGTAACTGCAGTTACTTCCGCCAAGAAGAGATAACTCTGTACCACCACCAAAATAGTTAGGGGTATATCGAATATAGGACAGTACACATTTATAATTTAAGTGAGGTGAGCCGTGGAGAAATGGGGTTTAACGTCGCGTTCACGGTTATTGCACTTATAGCGACGTGCATACACGTGTTTGTGTGGCTGCTTGTACTAGTCCGGACCTCGGACATTCCGCTCTCAGGGCGGACGCTCAACCACTGTACTACTAAGACATTAAACGTGTGGTAAGGAGCATTTTGATTGAGCATATTCAGTGAAGTATCATACAAAGTAATTCAGCCAATCCATTCACAGAATAGAGTGGATGAACAAGAAACAGCCAATCACGTCACCGAATAGAGTGGATGAACAAGAAACAGCCAATCACATCACAGAATAGAGTGGATGAACAAGACACAGCCAATCACGTCACAGAATAGAGAGGATGAACAAGACACAGCCAATCACGTTACAGAATAGAGTGGATGAACAAGAAACAGCCAATCACGTCACCGAATAGAGTGGATGAACAAGAAACAGCCAATCACATCACAGAATAGAGTGGATGAACAAGACACAGCCAATCACGTCACAGAATAGAGAGGATGAACAAGACACAGCCAATCACGTTACAGAATAGAGTGGATGAACAAGAAACAGCCAATCACGTCACAGAATAGAGTGGATGAACAAGACATAGCCAATCATGTCACAGAATACATTTCATAGACAATGTATGAGTGACAGCCATGTAAATGTGCAATCTGGTTTACCGAAACTGTATGAAACATCGGTCAATGACAGAATAATACATTTTCATATTTCTTCCTGTAAAACACAAACACATAAACTGACATATACCTTCAATAGGTGGTAAGAGCTTGTTGCGGGAAGAAAATCCGAAGTGATGCAGGGCCCAGGACTTTGCCAATTTGGTGGAACCCTCGAGGGAGTGAGTGAGTTTGGTTTAACGCCGCTTTTAACAGTATTCCAGTTAACCCGCTGCGTGTCAGCTTAATGTGGGAGGAAAGCCCGAAATGATGCAGGTCTCAGACGTTTATCATTTCGGTGAAACCCACGAGCACGGGTATAGTGCTGACTAACCCAGAAACATAATCGGGGCGAACAGGGATTCGAACCCACAATCATAGGTTTCTGGCGTGTCCACGGAACGCAACTCTGCACAGCGAATCTCGGCGCCTTAGACGAGTGGGCCACCCGTGCCCCCGGAAACCCACGAGCAGAGTACGGTGCTGACCAATGACACAGGTCAGATAACAACATACCAAGAGTCATGATATCATGATCATAATCGAATCGACGATCATAGGATTCTGGTTCGTCTAAGACATGCCAGACACAGATCTCGACAGCTGTACAGAGCAACTGAGTCGCATTTAACTACTTGGCCACCAATGCCACCGGTTCTGACTTTATGAGTACGAGGGCTTGTCAAACAGTTCTATGCCTAACAATCAAAATTAATCAAAATTTTCTCAGACAATGTCAGTTGTTTTTTCCTTATGATAAGAATTTAGAAACTTTGTCTTCCAAACGAGCAGATATCTTATTCATCAGTAAATATTCATGAATAATGGTTTTTTTTCGACCATTGGCTTAGACCTGTGTCGTCCCCAAGTTCAGCAGTGGTAATGTCTTCTCTGAAGTAATTAAATTGATGACTCGTATTTTTAAGGAGGTGTGGTGAAATAGGTTTTAACGATTATTTAACTGATATAGCGATGTGTATGCACGAGGGCCTATGCTTGTACCAGTCCGTACTGTTATATTCCACTGAGATAACATGCCTCAGTGTAACATGAATACCCCCTCTGACACAGTATACTGACTCCGAGCAATCCAGTTCTTCTTTTAGAACCTTAATCCCGAGCGACAGACAGAATAATAACAAGTATAATCTTTTAACATATTCTGGTATGACGCGGCCAGGGATCCAACCCAGGATCTTCCGCTCACCAGGCGGACGCTCCACCACTAGACCACATAGTCGGGCTACTTTTAAGGATTAATATTAACAACTTTCAGTGAGTGGGTTGCGTTTCTCTCCGCTTTGACAACAGTTTCGTGTCGTGTCCATCACAGGTTCAAGCACGGGTGGGAGCGGTCAGGTAGCCTAGTGGTTAATGCATTGGCTAAAAGCGGCGTAAAACCTTACTCACTCACTCACTCACTCAAGCACGGGTGTGATGTTGACACAGGTAAGTCTCATCACCGGGACTGGCCTACTCATGACAAAAGGGAAAGGCAAGCCATGTGTTTCTTCCGAAACATACATTCCTGGTTCTTTGTTTTAAAAATAATTTAACCACCAAATATTCTGAAAACATGGCTGATGAACTTGTCGGTCTTACAAAACAGGTCGTACTTTCATCACTGACGTTTGCAAAGAGTACTTGAAACCGCGCCACTTCTCCCAGTTGATCCCTTTGCCAAAGAGTGTGTTGTTGTAGTCACCATTCAGATTGGACGAGTGACAGTCATTGTACCACCATCCTCCTAGAAACTGTTGTGCACAAGAACCATCAGTGTCCAGATCAAGGTCACGATCGCGGGTTGAAAATGCCTGGCCATTGTGTAGAGCCATTGAGTCGCCTGTAACAAAACGATGAAGACATTGGTAAGTGTTGCTGGTGAAAGTATCCACAATGGTTAAGCCAATGTTCTTATGAATTAAGTAGTGGTTTTCAGGAGAGAAAAAAATTGCACTAGTGTACACATGTTCAACCCAAACCTTTTACCAAGAGATGTATCATGTATTATGATAATGCTGCAATCTGAACTGGTTACCTTGGTAACTGAAGCCCACGTTCTTAAAGTGGAGCACGAGTGAGTGAGTATGGTTTTACGCCAATTTTAGTAATATTCCAGCAACATCACGATGGGGGACACCACAAAAGGGCTACACACATTGTACCCATGTCGGGGTTCGAACCCGGGCCTTTGGCGTGAAGAGCGAATGCTTTAACCACTAGGCTACCCGACCGCCCCAAGTGGAGCACGAAGAGAATAATATTCTGCCAGGCCACGCCCAGGGAGCTCACTTTCTCGACAGATATGTAGAGCTTATTATTCTGTACGGCCACTGCTCACCTTCAGGCCACTGAAGCCCCAGATATGTAGGCCAAACCTCACCTTCAGGCAACTAAAGCCTGAGATGTGTGGGGCATAGTGTTATGTAAGGCTACTGCTTACCTTCACGACAATGGCGCTCACGCAATCGTAAGCACAGTGTTCTGTAAGGCTACTGCTTACCTGTGTCGCAACTGAAGCCCGAGATATGTATGGCATAGTCTTCTGCAAGGCTACTGCTTACCTATGTCGCCGCTGAAGCCGAGATATGAAGTACAGAGTGTTCTGCAAAGCTACTGCACAGATGTGTCGCCGCTGAAGCACGAGATATGTAGGACATAGTGTTCTGCAAGGCTACTGCTTACCTGTGTCGCAACTGAAGACCGAGATATGTAGGACATAGTGTTGAGCAAGGCCACTGCTTACGTATGTCGCCACTGAAGCAAGAGGTATGTAGGAAATAGTGTTCTGCAAGGCTATAGCTACTGCTTACCTGTTTTCGCCGCTGAAGCCAGAGATATGTAGGACATAGTCTTCTGCAAGGCTACTGCTTACCTGTGTCGCCACTCAAGCCCGAGATACGTAGGGCATAGTGTTCTGCAAGGCTACTGCTTACCTGTGTCGCCGCTGAAGCCCGAGATATGTAGGACATAGTGTTCTGCAAGGATACTGCTTACCAGCTGTGTCGCCACTGAAGCCCAAGATACGTAGCGCATAGTGTTCTACAAGGTTACTGCTTACCTGTGTCGCCACTGAAGCCCAAGATACGTAGCGCATAGTGTTCTACAAGGTTACTGCTTACCTGTGTCGCCACTGAAGCCCAAGATACGTAGGGTATTGTGTTCTACAAGTTTACTGCTTACCTGTGTCGCCGCTGAAGCCCAAGATACGTAGGGCATCGTCTTCTACAAGGTTACTGCTTACCTGTGTCGCCACTGAAGCCCAAGATACGTAGGGCATAGTGTTCTACAAGGTTACTGCTTACCGTGTCGCCACTGAAGCCCAAGATACGTAGGGCATAGTGTCCTGCAACGGTACTGGTGACCTGTGTCGCCGCTGAAGACAGAGCTATGTAGGACATATTTTTCTCTAAGGCTACTGCTTACCTGTGTCGCCGCTGAAGCCCGAGATATGTAGGACATAGTCTTCTGCAAAGCTTCTGCTTACCTGTGTCGCCGCTGAAGCCAGAGATATGTAGGACATAGTGTTCTGCAAGGCTACTGCTTACCTGTGTCGCCACTGAAGCTTGATATACGTAGGGCATAGTGTTCTGCAAGGCTACTGCTTACCTGTGTCGCCGCTGAAGCACGAGATATGTAGGACATAGTGTTCTGCAAGGCTACGGGTTACCTATGTCGCAACTGAAGCCCGAGATATGAAGGACATAGTGTTCTGCAAGGATACCGCTTACCTATGTTGCAACTGAAGCCTGAGATATGTAGGACATAGTGTTCTGCAAGGCTACTGCTTACCTGTGTCGCAACTGAAGCCCTGAAAAATGTAAGACATAGTGTTCTGCAAGGCTACTGCTTACCTATGTTGCAACGGAAGCCAGAGATATGTAGGTCATAGTGTTCTGCAAGGTTACTGCTTACCTGTGTCGCCACTGAAGCCCAAGATACGTAGGGCATAGTGTTCTACAAGGTTACTGCTTACCTATGTCGCCACTGAAGCCCTGAAAAATGTAGGACATAGTGTTCTGCAAGGCTACTCCTTAACTTTGTCGCCGCTGAAGCCAGAGATATGTAGGACATAGTTTTCTCTAAGGCTACTGCTTACCTGTGTCGCCGCTGAAGGCAGAGATATGTAGGACATAGTTTTCTCTAAGGCTACTGCTTACCTGTGTCGCCACTGAAGCCCTGAAAAATGTAGGACATACTGTTCTGCAAGGCTACTGCTTACCTGTGTCGCCACTGAAGCCAGAGATATGTAGGACATAGTGTCCTGCAAGGCTACTGCTTACCTATGTCGCCACTGAAGCCCGAGATACGTAGGGCATAGTGTTCTGCAAGGCTACTGCTTAGCTGTGTCGCCGCTGAGTCCAGGCATATGTAGGACATAGTGTTCTGCAAGGCAACTGCTTACGTATGTCGCCACTGAAGCCCTGAAAAATGTAGGACATACTGTTCTGCAAGGCTATTGCTTACCTGTGTCGCCGCTGAAGCCAGAGATATGTAGGACATAGTGTCCTGCAAGGCTACTGCTTACCTATGTCGCCACTGAAGCCCGAGATACGTAGGGCATAGTGTTCTGCAAGGCTACTGCTTAGCTGTGTCGCCCCTGAGGCCAGGGATATGTAGGACATAGTGTTCTGCAAGGCAACTGCTTACGTATGTCGCAACTGAAGCCCGAGATATGTAGGACATAGTGTTCTGCAAGGTTGCTGCTCACCTGTGTCGCCGCTGAAGCCCTGAAAAATGTAGGACATAGTGTTCTGCAAGACTACTGCTTACCTATGTCGCCACTGAAGCCCGAGATACGTAAGACATAATGTTCTGCAAGGCTACTGCTTAGCTGTGTCGCCGCTAAAGGCGTGATATGTAGGACATAGTGTTCTGCAAGGCTACTGCTTACCTATGTCTCCGCTGAAGCACGAGATACGTAGGTCATAGTGTCCTGCAAGGCCACTGCTTACCTGTGTCGCCGCTGAAGCCAGGGATATGTAGGAAACAGTGTTCTGCAAGGCTACTGCTTACCTGTGTCGCCGCTGAAGCCAGGGATATGTAGGAAACAGTGTTCTGCAAGGCTACTGCTTACCCGTGTCGCTAATGGAGCCCGAGATATGTAGGCCAGCGTTTTCTGCAAGGCTACTGCTTACCTGTGTCGCTGCTGAAGCCAGGGATATGTAGGACATAGTGTTCTGCAAGGCTACTGCTTACCTGTGTCGCTGCTGAAGCCAGGGATATGTAGGACATAGTGTTCTGCAAGGCTACTGCTTACCTGTGTCGCTGCTGAAGCCAGAGATATGTAGGAAACAGTGTTCTGCAAGGCTACTGCTTACCTATGTCGCTAATGAAGCCCGAGATATGTAGGCCAGCGTTTTCTGCAAGGCTACTGCTTACCTGTGTCGCCGCTGAAGCCAGAGATATGTAGGAAACAGTGTTCTGCAATTCTACTGCTTACCTGTGTTGCCGCTGAAGCCCGATATATGAAGGGCATAGTATTCTGCACAGTTGCCAATGACGAAACTTTGGTAACGGGCATATCTGTGTTCCCCTTCAAAGTCCTCAAGGTCGATCTGCAGCTCAAATTGTCTTCCTTGGATGATGCGCCAGATGTTCTCATTACCTAAACCATATCTTCATAGTTGGAATAAAATAACGACAGACAAAACTATGTTTATAAGAAATACTTGAGTATCAACACCCTCTCCTTCTCTATTTGATGTTTTATGTCGCTTATTTCATGTAAACGAAATCCATCAACAGTATCTATCTTTTCAGATGTTTCATTGATCACCTGATATAAACCAATAATATATATTATTCTATTATATAAGAGTCTTTAATTGGTCTTGCTTAGATGTCTTGAGAGTATACATCAGCCTTATTAAAAATGTATATTATATGACATAAATATCTTAGTAAGCGAAATGCTTTCACTTGTATTAACTTAAAGGGTTGTAACGGGCGATACACCTATAAAAATAATACTGCAACGTTGACGTTGGTGTTTCTTAAGCCATTTAATTGATAGACCTGGTCATATCTCAAAGGCATCTTTTGGCGCATCCCCAAACAAGACTTCAATAATACTTGTAGGAAGATCAGGTATAGCATTCAAAATATTCAATATATCATTGAATTCATTAACCAAATATAAACTAACATTTTTTAATGATGAACGACTCAATAACATATGACCTGGGTCGTTCTGGCAGGGGAGCGACAAAGACACTCTTTGGTTTTGAGGGGATATGAGCCCCGAGTACGATCCCACTATTCATTATCTTAGTTAAATGATGTCCCTTACCCGTCATCACATATGATGGGTCAGTGACAATATTCAGTAGCCACTCGATTTTTGCTCCGACCATAGTCCATTCATTATCATCATTGCGAGTAAGATTGTATGAAGTGTTTTTATGGAGTCTACTAACGTCGACATCATTTAAATCTCCTAGATTAGGAGCAGGTGCTGTCTATACAACTTCTTTCCATTTGTATACATTATCTTGTAAGTGTAAAGCATCGGTACTGGGTTTATCGAATCCTTCTGCTGTGTCTCCAAGATTGGATAAGGCAATTGTATTACATTGTCTAAGGTTATGCGTTCCAGGGCCTGATGAATTAACCATTATTTATAATATGGAGTGCTAGACTAAAAAATTATTATGTACAGGTTGATGTTTTACATATAATACAGACATTTTGAGATCTGAAATAATACCCCGCTTTAACTTTTTATATTATAATGATGAGAAAGATTCAGTTCTACAACTTGTAACTAATGTAATTTTCATCTTTGACTGGAAGAGCGCTTAGCAGAGTTGAAGGACTTTTGAATTGAATATTATCCGTTGTACTGATCTCATCAAGATGGATGCACAACTCTTTATTGGGAACTAAATCGGGTAATTTAACTCCATGCACTGTTGTGCTTATGTAATACTTCTTTTCTTATAAATCCAAGTGTTTTTATTGCTAAGATCCTGTGAAGAAATATATCATTTTCTCCACTGCATAAAATAAGAACCCCATTCGACTCATTTTGTGTGAGAGTAGCTCTCAAAGATTAAAATGTTATTGAGTGAGCATACAGTGTAATACCACTGTACCAGTCTCTATTTCCATATATCTTATTATTATCTCTCGCAACACTTATATTGGTCCACCGAAGCTTGAAGTTGCCCCACCAAGTTGTCAATAGCGTGAAGCAGTTGAATAGACTGGCCATTTGCTATTCCCGGGGGTGTAACATACAAATTAAATATAGACAGATAATATATCATAACTTACATTATGAACAGATCTGAGTAGAGTTGAAGGACTTTCTAGTTGAATATTATCCGTTGTGCTTATTTGATCAAGATGGATGCACAACTCTTTATAGGTAACTAAATCGGGTAATTTATCTCCATCAAATGTTGCCTTGATTAATGTTATATCTCTGATTGCAAATCCAAGTGTAACTGCTAAGTTCATGAAAAGCATTCATCCTTTTTATCCAGCGTTCAAATTCAGTATCCACTTCGACTCATTTTTGGTAAGACTAATTCCATTAGGCTTAAAATTTTCATCATTGAGTGAGCACACGCTGTGATACCCATCAGGTATAATAATGTATTTGTCAATACCACTCTTTTCTAATATCCATATCCTATTATTATCTCTCGCAGCATTTATATTAGTCCACCGCGGGTAATATGTTTCATCACAGATAGCGACTTCAAGCTGACCATCCGAGTTATCGATAGTATGAAGCAGTTCAATAGACTGACCATTTGTTATATCTGGGAGTGTGACATACATATTAAATATACAATGATACTATATCATAACTTAAATTTGACATCAACTTACATTACGAATCAGTCGATTTTAGTAAGAACCTCTGGTGCTCAGCTTTTTGTTCATTTCCCTGATATCTTTGAAAAATACAGGGTCACAGCAACTAGTAACAAAATGTTGCATGATTTTTTCCACATATCCCATGCAATTTTGGCAAAACCAGTTTAACTTTTCTATATGGTGTGCCACAACAGGATGTGGTGTATCTCTTTATGCCACTGGTTTTAAATTAAATAAGTCTGTTTTATCATTTCATGTATTATATCAGATTAGAAGAACTTAGTGCCCCATTTCTGCAGTTCGAGCATGGAATGCATTAAATAATCCGTACAATAGGTTCGCATATGAACGTATTTGTCAGGAATTTGATATTTCTAAGAGTAAAGATAAATGCATTAAAGGACTTAACCATGGTATAGGTATTTCCTACAGTGGACAAAAAACTGTTAAAGAAGAAGTGATGATTTAGTTTTAAAAACTCATCAACCATTCAATCCATTTAAGTTGATACAGCAAAACAATCTTCTTGTGAGAAGGTGTAATCTTTATCATGGCTGGGAACTTTCGAGTAACGATTGGAGAGGATATCTTTTTAAGTATGGTTTGCCTTATATTGTTACAAAGTTTGTACAGCTGAACGACACCGCAAACGCTTGGAATGAATTTCTTAATGATAAAACAGAAAATAATTTTACTAACCAAGGAGTTGTAAGAGTTAATGAATCAATAAGAACTTGTGCATGGGCAATTCTTGGCGCAAAGTTGCAAACACGTACGGGACTAATTGGTTCTGGGACAGGGCTTGATGCACAAAAGCAGTTTGTCGCAAACGTAGAGGATCCTATTAAATAACCAAGGAGTTGTAAGAGTTAATGAATCAATAGGAGGATATGTATGGGCAACTCTTGGTGTACAATCGCAAACATGAAAGGAATAACTGGTTCTGGGACGGCACTCGATGCACAAAAGCAGTTTGTCGAAAGCATAGAGGATGCCATTAATTCACCAGTTGACATACCATCTTCTATGAAACGTTATCAAGATGTATTACCGTTCCCTCAATCCAAAGTAGACTATGTTTATTGGGCAGGACTTTACACGTCTTCGAGTAATATGGAACTTAAGATTGGTAAAGTGATAGGCTATAATAATAAAATTGTTATTACTACATCAGAAAAAACGGGAATAAATTCAGATATTAACACCAAATTAATAACGCAAACAAACACAGGTGAAACAGAAATAGTCAAGCCACAGTCATCTGCTGTAACAGAAGCACAACAACCACAAGTTGTAAAGCCACATATTGAAGCTAAAAATCAACAACATGTCGACGATAAAACAGCACTTATAATAGCCTGATGAACTTAATTCATTGTAAAAATATTTTGTTCCTCGGTATATAATGTAGTGCTGGTGAGTATATTTGCCGCATAAATCGAGCTCCAGTGGAAGTGAGCTAGAATTGTCATTCCCTATACTACAAGTTATCATACAGCGTGATACTTTAACATAGGGAGACACATGGCACAAGTTATGCAGTCCATATCCTTTCACTCATGAACGCTTCGTATGGCGCTGAAAACAGACAAGGAACATTTAACACACGAACGAATGATTCCGCAAGGTCCACGAAACACAGCTTGGCATAGCAACCTGATACACACCTGACTTCTGCACATAGAACATGTCAAGGGTGAGACGGAACGACGTGTAAGACAGGACTGGAACCAGTCGGACAAACTTTTATCAGTTTGATCAATCTGTGGTTGACTTTTGGAACAACACCGCCAGACTGTTTTCAATCATCTGGTGTCCTGATTGCCTTTCAACGCAAATGATAAGACAGTTCCGAAATTTTCAAATTGAAATTTCCAGAGGGCCCTAAAAGGTCCTTACCCTACTTCCTACTTTCCATGTAGACCTTCAAGCCCTAAACACGCGTTCAATGTCCCCAGTATTCTAAATTGCGGATCTATTATGCTTGATGCAAGAAAAGGCACGTTGTCGTAATGTGACTGTCATACACTGGTTTAGTCTTTTAACATTTCCGATGTCAAATGACCCGAGGGTCAAATCATGCGTACGTACATCCATATGTTTCCTTGAATACTTGAACTAACTCACCCAACCAGTATTCCCTGTCAAGTTCACCGAACCCATCCATGTACTCATTCCATGTTCTGTAGAAATTTCGCGATCCGTCAAGTCGTCTTTGGATCACCTTAAATAAAATCAGTGTTATGTTAATGTCAATGTCATTAAAATCATTCTTGCTACCGCTACACAAAGATCTGAGGACATCGCATTTGGGTCACGTCAGAACCACCTTTCATACGACCAATCAGAGCCTTGCTTACCAGATCATGAAAGTGACAGTCGGAATGTGATTTCGAAACCTTGAAATCTTTGACATGGGGTATTCCGAGCGATAGCGGAAGGTCCGGGGTTCGATCCCCGCCTGTGTCATACCAAAAGACGTTAAAAATTGGTACTTGTTCTTACCCTGTCTGGCGTTCAGCACAAAGGGGCTAAAACAAGGAATGTTCACCTCGGAGTCAGTATACTGTGTCTGAGTAGGGTATTCATGGTAAACTGCGGCATGGTATCTCAGTTTGCTAGCACTATAAATTGGCACCAGTCCGGACTAGTACAAGCAGCCACAGAAAGACCACACGTACATGCACGTCGCTATATAAGTGCAAAAATCTTGGACGCGATGTTAAACCCCATTTCACCTCACCTCACCGAACGATAGTTACAGGCTTAACGACTGAATCCATACACTCTTGGCCATCTATTAGCCGTTCCAGTCTTTTATTCAGCTTCCAAATATTGTATCGAGAATTTGTCAAAATATGTTTTGAAGTGTTCTCGCCAATTTGAAATTAGTGCCAGTAGTTGTGTACAGCGGTCTGGAACCGCTCCTGGCTTCTGATTGGTCGAGAGGATCTGTGACGTCACTTCCGGTTTCGGTTTGGTCACGTGACTGCGCATGCGCGCGGGGCATGATGGGACTTGCGTGCGCATCCAAGATGGCGGCACATCCGTGTCCGGCGGCGCGCGCATCCAAGATGGCGGCACATCCGTGTCCGGTGGCGTGCGCACCCAAGATGGCGTCGCATCCGTGTCCGGTGGCGCGCGCCTCCAAGAGGGCGTCGCCTCCGTTTCCGGGGAGGAGGGATGGGGAAAAACCCAGAGAAACGGTCGTACAAGGTGAACAAGATCGACATGGTTGTTGTTCTTTTGTTGTTCTAAAAATAGAAATAGAAAAGGCGGTGGTGGTGCAGGGAGGGAGGAGGAGGGAGGGAGGAGGGATTCAGGGAGGGAGGAAGGCGGGAAGGGAGTCGGGTTCTTTGTTTTGTTTTGTTTTGTTTTGGTGGGTGGGTGGCGATGGCATGTGGAGATGATAGCTCACTGAGACGAGCTTATCATACACAGTCGACGACTCTGCCACTTTGTTGCTAGGTTGACGTCATATCGGCGAAGGATCTTGCAACAACGTGTCACAAATCATGTCGTCGGGTATGGTGATGTGTTTGTCAACTTTGAGGTGTAAGGTTTCGTTCCACAAGGCGATCGTGTATTGTAGCCCACGATGACAGTCGTTCGTCTAAGTTAAAAGTCGGGGAGTGGCGAATTTAAAGGGGCTCAAGGTGTTGGCTGAATTCTAACGGTGAATCGACAGGCACAGACATGAACGTGTTGTAGGTATATGCCTACGTGAAGTACTTCGTGTCACCCCCATGCAAACGTGGTGCCACGCGTGACGACAAACAGACGTTGACGTTGATCCATAGGATGATTATTATCATTTATTTATTCATGATACCGAGGTGCTGGCACTCGTGTAGGTTGACAGGTGTACTGTCATTCGTGTTGCCAGGCACCCGTAGTGTTTCACGCGTGTTGCCAGGCAAAACGTGGTGTCCTCTGTGTGTGTGTGTGTGTGTGTGTGTGTGTGTTCAAACAGACGTTGACGTTGATCCATAGGATGAACATTATTATGAATGACGCCGAGGAGTCGGTACTCGTGTAGGTCGACAGGCGTACTGTCATTCGTGTCTCCATGCACACGTCATGTACGTCGAGTGTTGTCATGCAAAACGTCATGTACTTCATGTTGCCATGCAATCGTGATGTCATGCGTGTGTGTCTTCAAACACACGTTGATCCACAGGATTATTGATCCTATTTTGTATTTTATAAGGAGAGAGAGAGATCGATAGACATACGTGGTGTTTGACTCGTGTCTCCAGGCACACGTGGTGTTTCACGCGTCTCTATTTCTATATATTAATTTTATCATTTGGAGACGTACCATGGTGGTGTCACGCGTAGGCGTGTGCCTCCAAGAGGACGAGGGGGAGGGTGTGGGTTCTTTTGGATGGTTGTTGTTTGTGTTGGCAAAGCAAGCAGGGTGGGTGTCGATTAGTCTGAACACCATGTGGACTCCATCATGTCTTACCAGGCAGCTGATCTTTCAAACATGGCCCTTCTCTTTTATCTATTTGTACTATATAATATATTACAACGAGCATGTGCACTGACATGACAGACGCACGGACAGACAACGTAGACGACATCTCAACTCAACCTCTACCCTCGGTTCGGCATTCTACTGGAGTTGAGATCAATCAAGACACAAAGAGTCAGTTCAATTTATCCCTGTTTAATAATGAACAACAACTTAGATACAGACAAACAAGGTGAAATAATGCGAATAATGCGAAAAAGTGGATGACAACCTTCGTCATCGTCATCACACAGGTAGCCTGCTCAATGTTGCAACGAGTGCTTCTGTGGCTGCTGCTTCTGTTGGTGAAGGTGTTGCTGCTGCGGCTGCTACTGCCGCTCTGTATAGTGGTGAGATGAGTTCTGGTTCTGCTGCTGTTGGTTAGCGTGTTGTTGCTGCTGCGGCTGCTTCTGCTGCTGCGTGGAGCGCATTGAAGAGTTCTGTTGGTGAGGGTGTTGCTACTGGTGCTTCTATGGCTGTGGGGGTGGTGTCTGCCACTGCTGGTGCCACTGCTGCTACCATTGCTGCTGCCACTGGTTTTGGTGTGGATGCTGCAGCATCTGAGGTGTCCATCGGTGATGGTGAAGGTGGTGGTGATGATGACTGCGCTGAAGTTACTCCTGTTACTACGGCGACGAGTGCAGCTGTTGCTGCTTCTACTGCTGTGGGTGTGGCGGCTGTGGCTGTTGCTGCCGCCCAGGATAGTGCTGAGGCGAATTTTTTTGTTGCTGCTGCTTCTCGGGGTGTCCCCTTCGATGCCCTCACACCTGCCACGCATTGCGCCATCTGTAGTGCATTGATGAATACTTTTAGTGAGGGTGTTGTTGCTGCGTCTGCAGCTGCATCTTCTTCTTCCTGTGTGGTGGCTGCTTCTGCTGCTGCTACGGGTGTTGTTGATGGTGTTGTCTGCGATGAGTACTGCTGCAGCAAGGGTGCATGTGAGGTTACTATTTCAACGAGTGCTACTGCTGCTGCTTCTATGGCTGCAGGTGTTGCTGCGGCTGATGCTAGTATCGCTGTCCATAGTGCTGAGTCGAGTTGTTGTGCTGCTTTCACTGCTTCTGAGGGTGTTGTTGTTAGTATGGGTGCTGCTTCTGCCGCTGCTGACGCTGCAATGAGTGCTGAGGTGAGTACGTCTGTTTCTTTTAAAGTCCCCTCTGCTACCACTGTGGTAAGTGCTGCGACGTGTGGTGCTGCTGCTTTTTGGGCTGCTTTGAGTATGGATGCTGTGAGTGCTGCTGCTTCAGGTGTTGGGGTTGACTTTTCCACGTAGAGTTCCATGCTGGGGATGCAGATGCCATACTCCGGAGGCAGAAATGTGTCCACAACACTCTTTAACTTCTCATGCATGCAGTCATGGGAAGCTTTGTACAAGGCACTTGTTCTCATCATCTCCCAATGTAGAACTAGCTGCTCCCCCAGGATGTCCGCCATGGCATGACGGAAATGCTCGCAATTGAGAACGTCCCCGTCCTTGTCCCCCTTCTCCTTCTTCTTCTTCTGTTTGATGATGATGCGGTAGTGGCCATTGTTGTCATACGGTAGTAGTAGTCGGAACATGATGGTGTTGTTGCTTTGACCGTTCAGTGAAAAGTGATGGCCAGGGAACGTTGGTCGTATTTAAAGACACTGACACTCTGCTTTCTGATTGGTGGAAAATCCGACCTTCTGATTGGATGGTTTCTGTCCCACACGCCAACCACAAGTGTGGTACGTCCTTAGTGTTTCTTTTCCAAAGGGTCAGGCTTGTAGCGTGAGAGAGAAAGCACAACCTCGGTTCGACCCATCAGAGCCCACCATGGCCCGAGCGCGGCCTCTGATGGGTCGACAACCCAGGCTTCGGATTGGTCCGATGTCGATCCGTTTTTTCTGTAGGGGTCCATGTCGATTCAGTTTCGATCCGCTGTCATGAAAAAATATTATAGAAAGTCGTCTCTGTACCCAAAGGGGAGCGTGTCTACAGGCAGCTCTGTGGTTTCGTCGTAGACGAGACGTCGCTTGTCGTACACGGTACGATAGTCTTTTCGGGAGGGTCGGGTCACAAGTGCGTTTTCGTGCCGAGGTCCTTTTCGAATGATCTGATGAGGGTAATCCAAACTGATTTTCTCCCCCTCTTTCCCAGGCCGTTGTCCCAGTATCAGTCCTTTCATGGTGTCAAAGTTGAGACGGTGTTGGTTTCGGTAATTCAAAGTGAACCCTCCCACTTTGCAGGTCGTGCGCGTTCCATCGGGTCTGGGGTTCATTAACTCGTAGCCATAGTTTTTGGGACCTCCCGACACAAACGTCTTGATGATGTTTCCGTCCAGTTCATCCGTAAACTCACCCAACGAATGGCCCAGCTCTGGATTCGCGTCGTGGGGTCGATGAATGTAAATGACGCTGTCCGTGTCAAAGTACAACACCCTGCGGCCCACCAGGGCAAGGGTCTCGTACAGCTTGAGACGTGCTTGGGCGGTGACCCAAGCGGCGATGGCGACGTTGAAATGAGAATGAGGGGTTTGGTATTCTTTCCGATGGGTATAGGTCACTTCCACCATGTGTTCGTTGACAACGGTCACATCCTCGATGGTATTGCGTTCATCCCTCCACAAGGCAAAGTACTGTACAGGATCGCTGATATAGAGGTTCTGACTGTAGTCTACCCGTTGTCCAAACTTGCCCCAGAGCGAATTCAGTTGCATCTTGGCAATCGTGCGACGTCCTGGATT